CTTGTAGCAGTCATTCAAAGTATCGCTTGGACTTCATAGTTTTCAATGCAGACACAGTGAAGCATAGATATTTCCAATCCTAGGAATCACAATGATAGTAAATTTACCTTCATATAAAAGCCGATCCTAATTAGCCTCCATCAGTTTAGTATAAGATAAGATAACGGTAGCATATAGGAAAAGATATACGAAGTGTTTAGTTTGTTGGATATGATTATGGCAAATGCTTACATCAGACATCCAGGCAATATAGGAAGCGAGTACATTGATCGATCGTTAAATATTTTGACTGAGTAAACAGACCCTCTCACACTGAAGGAAGGAATGACTTTATTCCACGGTCAATTCGCACTCTGGCTATTTCTCCAAATTTCATGGATCGACTTATGAAGACATTGTCTGTTGAAGCTCCGTTAACTTAGATTATTAATCTGGACCGCAGGTCTGCTCAAGCTGGTCAATAATCATATTACCCCCTAGTTAATGGTGGGGTCGATTCTAACAACTTATACATAACATGATATATTCTGCTGTGATAAATAGGCAATTCAGATATTTTGAAGGCTGCCTAGATTGATTAAAATTTGACCAGAATAAATTTTTTTGTTACAAAGAGCATTTTAGTCAAGCACAAAGTACGGTTATTCCCGTAATAGTCGGTCAACTACGTAGAATAGATGAATTATTATTAGTTGTCCTTCTCCTTGAAGATATTGATTATAGTTAAACATTCAGTGGAATTTTATCCTATCTAACAACCTCACTAAATATCAGGGACACTTCACTCGGACTGCTAGTAATAACTAAAGGTGAAACATTAAGTTCTGCGTACCAAGATTTTCGAGCATATGCAGATAGTCAGCTACATGATATTCCACCTCTTATGAAATTAAGTTATACAGCGTAGCAACAGCTAAGAGGATTGTTTTTTCCCTACAAAAGGAAGAAAGATGCTGGGAAATTCTCGATAAATATATGCTAAACAATCTGTCTAGTGTGTAATTCACATGGTTGTAAACCGTTATTTCACCCGTCCTTATACATTCATTTGTTTTCTGTTAGTTAAAAATTATTATTATTTCTTTTTGTGTCCGACTAAAAATGTAGCAGTATATTCCTTCAGTGACTATTCTGAGAGCACTCGTACTAACTTGCCGTGAATTCATTCTTCTGAAATGTTGAAATTGTACCAGTCTTTCAAATTCCAGATAGTGCGAAACCTGGGACGTAGTTGAATTACACCCTTGATCATTGAGACGCCATGAATAGATTACTTCAGGCAAAAAAACATCTCATTGCCTTCTTACCAGCCCCATTCGATTCTTGAGAATAATAAGTAAATATTTATCTGAACTCTTATAGTGTACTAGTGACTAGAAAACACAGTGCGATATATCGACGTGATGTACGGATAGAAAATATGCTTACCTTAGGTATTCCTAATTTAGGAAGTATATTTGAAACATGAACGGTGGTTGAAAAGAATCTCAGAGAAAGAGAGTAGTTGAAAAATTCATTAAGCGATTTTCAAAGCTGTCTGAAAGATGTTCAATATTAAGACTATATTTATGAAGTCTTTTTATGACCACTTGCTTTGACTGTTCAGATAAACACTTATTTAAGAGTAATATGCAAGTTGGAAAGTGAAAGTAATAGAATTTCTCCATGTGTAGTTTTGTTCTGTCAGTGGGTATTAAACAAGTCAAATCAACAAGGAGGGAGGGTGATGTATCTGACCAGCATTCATAACGGTGGGGCGATAACCTCAATCTACTCATATCTGTAGGGCAGAACATTTTGTTTGCTTACAGTAGGATGAAACAAACCAGTAATATTGATATTACTTCTCCTCGTTAACCTCTTCTACGAAACCTGTTAGTAACCTTGCACTGGTTTTAACTTCCTACCGAGAAGTCCTATTACAAGCAGATCCGGACAATTATACTGAAAGTGACCTCACACATGACTTCTTGAACTAAAGAGTTAAGAAGAAAAATAATCAATAAAATATCACAAAAGCATTAGATCAACATGCCTCATTATTATATTCTGTACATCAGCATTATTGTTAACAATTTAGTTCTTTTGAATTTCCTCTATTCATGCGATTAATTGCCCAGATGCAGGTGTACTGTTAGTGATCTAGTTAATAAAGTACCCAGGAGCCTGTAAATATATTATTTGAAAGATATCAAGCAGAATTTAGCACACTTACCTTCTCAATTCTTGTTACATGCAGACCTGGCTCTTTCTTAAATTGTTTCGAAGTCATTATCGTTTCGTCTTAACGCAACCGTTGTAACTCACGCCAACTATTCGCACAGTCTATTGCAGAGTCTGGAAAGTTATTTTTAATTTTATGTGAAGAATTTCAACCATAAGTATGAAGCCAATGTTTCTTGTGAACAACGTTTTACAAAAAATATGTTAGCAATTTTAACATTTTGATGTTGTCTGAAAATTGGCATGCCTCTTGTAACATGTTGTTATTTGAGAATAAATTAGTATTATTAACTAGAAATGCTCTTGTACGCGTCTCAAAAACGTGGAAAATAAATCATTTTACTAAGACTGTTGTCGTGTACACCATTTTTCATTGTTTTTCTGCTGGCTAGAGTTTCCTAATCTTTTGACTTTTTGTCATTTCAGCTACTACTAGTTTAAGTTACAGTTCTAGGATAGTTCGCAGTTACCATCGTAACATTATTCTTGACATGTTCTGTGATTAGCTATTCTTTCACATCAAACCTAATATCATGATCGTCCAACAACAGTGATGCTAATGGCTTTTGTGCCTCATCCCTGTTGGAGATGGCACATGCTGTTATAGTGGAATACTTTTATGCAGAGAACGCGATTGATGAAATGGAAACATTCATTATTGTAACCAAATGTAACAACAATTGTTTCACTGTACTCCTTTGCTTATCTGTACCAAAGGCCATTACCTTCCGTATCAGGTGACCATGACATTGTTCACGTTGCCTCGATAGTCTCGTTCATAACGTTCACAACTGCGATCTTGATGTTTTTTCGATATCACGAGATCAGCAACAATCAAACCCCTAACTACAATTATAACTGCTCTTTTGACTTCCGGCTGGCAAGATATTTAACTCGGTTATTTCGCGTTACGTAGCTTTCATTTTCAAAAAATGCGACTGACGGCCTCAATATGAGTTTCAATCTACCTTGTAAGGTGTATAAACGTCGTTCCAAGTCGACGTAGCGCGGTTATGTAGAGATTATTGCCTTACTAAAGCGATTTTACTCGATAAACCCTTGCGAATTTTTCATCCGGATGAAGATATTACTGAAATTTGATACAAACTCAGTTAGTCTGACATCAGACTAAGGGAAAAAAACAGGTGCAATCAATAGTTCTGTTTACTCAACTCTTATTCCTGATTGAAAATCGAGAATCCAATTATGAACGCACCTAAGGAGACTGCATTTATCTAAATGATCATTATGCACAGGCGTAATAAGTTCTGCACAGTAAGGATCAAGAAACTGCGTCCTGTCATAATTGGATTTACTCTAAGTACTAATGACATGAGTGAAAATTGGTGTCGAATTACTTATTTCACGATATAATTATTGTCATTAAAACTTTGCTTTTCGTTGACGTCGACTGTTCTCCCATAAATGCAGAAGACGTCTGTATTAGCAGTGAGCGGGTTAAAAATCGCAAGAGAGATATAATGATGTATGTTGGGGATTATTCTCCTGTATCATCGAGTGCATAAGAAACAACAACAGCATGTATGAAAACCTGAATGTTTGAGCCAGATTTGGTCACGGCTGTGATATTAGCAAAATATCTCAGCTAGATATTCTCTCTTCGTTGTTCTGAGGTTGCTAGAAGACCTGAAACCTGGCATGTCTTCTACTCCTGACGGTGAAAACAGTAGTCATAACAAGGTTGAAACTTCTTATGGTAGTTTCGAGGACTTCAACTGACTGATGTCTTCTTGCTTGCTTCGTCTAGGATACTGTGGCGATTTCCTACTCATTCTCATTCTTTCTAGAGTAAGTTAATTTACTCTCTCTCTCCTAAATTTACAATTATCATCTCATGTCTGTTGGAATTTTAATTTAACTAACTTTTTATTAGTTTCATATAAAATAAGTAATATAAATGGGTGACTAGATTATTGAAAATGTATATCGCGAACACACCATATTTTTCATGTCAATTACATCTCATTGTCCTATCAAAATTCATCGTGTTAGTCTGAACAGGCCAAAAAAGTCATCTAAACTCCACAATCACGAACAATGAAGCTTCTCAACAATCTCGAATTTTGTAGCCACTCAGCTATGACGTCCTTAAGATCCACCGTCAAGCGTTAGCGCATGTGCATTGAGTGTTGAAACGGGTGCAATGTTCTTGAATTCACCTAACCGACTCCGAATTTCTGTCTATAAACTGAGGTCCCACCGCAGAAGGCATCAAATACTGAATTAGAAGAATTTACATACACAACACTAACACCAAGAAATATAACCCATGTTATATCCTAACTACTACAACTGGGTTTCAAGGAAACATTATCAGCTAAAGATTCCAACGATCTATCCTTAAATCTTAAAAACCGGGATACAAACCATAGTTCTATTAGCGACGTAACACAGTTATCAGAAAATATGGGAAAGCTGAACCTGTGAGTGACACCATGAAATAGGAATATATATCATTCCGTCTATCATCAGCTTTGCTTGCCCTTTTATATCTACGACTCAACCCTTTCACACCTCTCTATCACCATTTAACTATTATTTTTATTGATTTAGATTTTGAAACATTCACCTATTGGCAATAAAATTCTATGTCCATAATTTTCAAGATTAAAAGCAAGTGACCTCCAACTCGGTAATATGATAACTGCTGGTAACCAGAAACCCTTTTTCTCAGAAACAAACGCGTTCAAATTAGAAGACACAGAATACTAAAATTAGTGCTATCAAGAGGCTAAAATACCACCCAGTGGGCATTAAAAAAAATCTGATAGCGTATTGAGACAACAGAAAGCGGACGAAAAGAAAGGTTTCCACTAGTTGTTATTGAATCTATTGAATCTTAGAAAGTTTGTGATTACTCGATGTTGCGCAGAATTCTATTTTAGCGTTACGGCTCCTGGTTTTTAGATGGTGTTTCTATTGGGATATTTTCTTCTTTTTTCTCTGCCTAATGATGCAGTCAGTCAAAACACACCCACGCATGAAACAATAACACTTCCAGTTACAAATACTGATCAGTCCAAACCATCCATACAAGTTAATTCAGCATGGGAATTATTCTTATCCGGATTCTCATCGTCATTTTATGTCATTATAATCTCCGAACTTGGTGACAAAACGTTTTTCATCGCTGCTATTATGTCTATGCAGCATCCACGGGCTTTAGTCTATTGTGGAGCGATGTTTGCGCTCATCACTATGACAATGTTGTCGGGTATTTGTAATTTTTCTAAATAACTCCCCTGCAGCGTTACTTGGTTACGCAACTACAATCGTTCCACGCTTTGTGACTTTATATTTATCCGGTGTGTTATTTTTTGTATTTGGCTTGAAGATGCTTTATGAAGGTAATGTTCGAAATGTTTTTATAAGCACTCAGCATACACTATGTCTTCCAGTGCAGCCAAAGAAGAGTTCGATGAGGTTCATATGCAGCTTACACAGTCCAAAGTGGGTGATACAGAAGCTGGCACTTCAGACACAGATAGTCCTCGGGGGTTTTCCTCTAAATTACTTTTGATCATAAAAAACATACTGACTCCTATCTTTGTGGAAGCTTTTGTTCTCACATTTTTAGCAGAATGGGGTGATAGGTCACAAATAACCACGATTGTTCTTGCAGCTACGAAGGTAAGCTACATTCTCGGATATACATCGAGGTTTTAATACACTATGACACCATTAATTTGCCTCAATTAAATATCTACCTATCGTCAGTAATGTATTCTTTAGAGTTTTTCAAGCATGCATAAAACTCCTGAATCTTTCTTATTTATAATAAATATCACGACGCGTAAGTCTTGGGATCATGGGTTCACTAAAGGCAATACAACCCTCATTTTCTTGCGTACTATCATAAGTGTGATCATCCGTAACATGTTCCAACCACCTCACTGATGAAGTTTCAGTGCCTTATCTATCTATCTGCCATCCGTATTGACCGCTTCACTTATCTTCGGAGTCTCATCATTGTTGATGGCTTGGTGACTGACAAAATTTCAGCGCGGATACAGAAGGCTCGATTGGCTTTTGCCAACTTGCGTCATTTATGGCGTAGGCGAGATTTCCGTCAATTAACCAAAGGACACGTTTACTTCTCAGCAGTTCGCTCCGTCCTACTTTATGGCTGCAAAACATGGCCAGTCAGAGTAGATATTCGTTGGTTACTATTTTTCTATCATAGGTGTCTCCGAAGCATTGTTCGTGCATCCTGGGATAATCGAGTAAACAAATCTGTTGTTAGGAAACGGGTACTAGGTATGGATGGAAGATCAGTTGATAAAGTAGTAAATGTTCGTCAGTTGAGGTGGTTGGAACATGTGTTACGGATGCTCAACCACCGACTCCCTCGAAGAGCTATGTTTTGTGGTGCAGGGGTAGGTTGGAAGAAAGCTAGAGGCGGCCAAACCAAAACATGGAGGAAATCCTTGAAGTCGCTGACAAGTGGAATGAGTCTTGTTCTTAGGTGTAGACTACCTGGTCAGAGTCCGCGAGGTGATCGTAACCGATGATCAGATACCCTGAATGACATGGCTCCAAATCGTTTGGAATGGCGCAGGTGCATTCATTCTTTGTGTTCCGTCAAATCCTAACCTGAATTCCTCATCACCTTTTTCTTTTTGAGTTTATTTCACTAGATTCTACTTCTTGATTAGTATCTTTGAACCCTAATCTCTCCGATTACTGATAATACTTATGCTACCTCTACTTCTATGGGATTTGAATTGACAATTGCATCTCTGTGCTAATATGGTATGGTAACTTGAAATGATTTACGTACTTAGGAAGTTCTACGTTGTAGCTGGTTGTCTGTCTGATTGACTAGTTTTCGGACATAGCATCTTCGTAGCATTTCTTGTGTAATTTGGGGTCGCTGATTCGATTTCTGTGTTAGGGATAGGAAACCATGAGGTTATCATGGTAAATCGATTGATTAGACTGTATATCTTGATCAACTTAGGTGGTTGCGACCTGTGTTATGTATACCTGTCCCCTCCTTTCTCGAGGGCGACGTTGTCTAACGTAGTAGTTCAGAAGCTAAGGGTAGCTAAACGAAAACATGGCACTAGTCCATGAAGTCATTAGTAATTGGACTTAATCATGTTAACAATTGTAGTTAACCTGATTAGGGTTACGGCAGCTATCGTATCCCGTGGTTACAGACTGTTTATTAAGTAGCAGAAGCATCCATTCGTTGTCTTCATTCATATCCTAATTTTTAAAACCACTCGTTATCCTTTTGTCTTATGTTTTTTGAATCGTATCTTTGGTGCCTAGTCTTTTCTGTTACCACTAATACCGTTACTACTACAGTGATATTCGCCCTAATAATTCCATCCAACAGTGCTAATGGGATATGGCAGCTTGAGTCGAATCGCAGACTAGATGCATCCTTTGTTTGTTTTATTCCATATTATAGGCTTCATAATTTCTTATTAATATGTTCCCCTCTTAGAAAACTTTGCTCGACTGGTTTGTATTTTCTCGGATCTTATCTTCGATCCCTAGTCTTTCTCATCACCGTTAATACCACTACTACTACTACCTCTATTACTCTAGAATTCAGCTTGATAATTTCTTTCCTTTTTGGTAATTTAGTATGGCAACTTTAATTGATATACGTTCGTAACAATTTCTTTGTTGCGAACGAGTAATTGAGGTTTGGCTCTGTTTTTGCAGTGTTGATATTGACTTACTCTATAATTGTAAAACCGGTTTTCAGCAGCTTAAATTCGTCTATCATCCCTCATTTCGAAGCGTTTGCTTCTAATAGGTTTATCCGGAGACCATTTGTATCACCATTCGATCTGTCTGATGTTGGTATCACACTACGCGCCAAATTAGAGTCAGAACTAATCTGTTAACTCTATTAATAGTCGTTCATATATTTTCAGATTGAAGCATTTGATTTTGACCAATTTGGTCTCTCGTGCTGTTACGGGTATGAGGGCGGTTGTCACTTCCCGGCTGCCCACACCGTGGAAGGTATTTTCAGATTAAAAAGTTCAATCAAATATCTCTTCATAACCCTTGCCTACTTAGCGACAGATTTCAGTCCGAATGCAATGACAGATGAGTTTTGTCACCAGTTAAGTGATCTCACAAAAAGCACATCAGATGTATGATGTAGTGATAAACGGAGACTTGATTACGTAGTTCGGAAGTTCGAATACACAGGAAATTTGTTCAGGGACCCAATCGAACTATGATGACCGGTCTATCTGACCGAGTAAAGATCTGCAAGGAACACTTTACTATGCACAACCTGTCGCCAGCCTCAGGCACTTATTCCTGGCTCCTCTTAAAGTCAGTGCCGAACTCCTGCTCAGAAGTTATTAGATTATTTGGAAAAGTTTATGAAATCAAGAATATGGTTTCAATCGTTATCAAATACGACTCAGAATAGAAGCTAGTGGCTATCCTGCTGTAGTTTTCGTTTACTTTCGTCATAAAAATGAAACTATCTTAATTGAAAGAATTTTCTCTCGGTTGTATTTTTAACTGAACCGTACTCCTCTATTTCTGCACTATCTCATTTCTATATATGTGCGATGCGTATCTTTTTCGTTCCTAGTTGTGCCACCATGATTTTATATTTAATAACGAATAAATAACGAAAAATATTTCCACACCCTTAATACATTTATCGGTTCAAAAACTTACTAATCAGGTTATGAAAAACTGTCTTTTCGTAATTCAGGATTTTGCTGCAGTTAGATTTTTGCGGTGATCGTAGTAGTGTTACTTTAACTGGCATATTGTTCTCAACTTTTCCTTTTCTGATTTTTACTTCTGTTTGTAGAGTGCTTTAGGTGTAATCGTAGGTGGAGTTCTGGGTCATGCTTTATGCACAGGTTTAGCCGTCCTTATGGGTCGTTTTGTTGCTCAACGTATTCCCGTTCAGTGGAGTAAGTAAATACTTGATTCTGAGAAATTCGAAACGAAATATATTAAAACTTATCCTTTCGTAATTTCTACGGTCTATAATTTACTACTTAGTCGGTGGATATTTAAAGATAATTATTTAGACTCACTGGATCCATTAGATCCCTTAATTTCCATAGAAAGAATGTGTTTAGAGCAATATAGCAAAGTGTAAACTTATAATTAATGAGAATCTCATTTCATGATTGACTGATTGCCCTGTCATTAATTAAGATATGTAACCAAGAATCAGATAATCGTCTTCTGCACATTTAACAAAAGCCAAGCACTTTTACTGAAGCTAAACCAAATGAATATATCAAACCGATCGAGCAAGATTCAGTCCACCCTTACTTAATATGTTTAACAGAATATTCCAAATGTAAGTAATCATATCTAATGTTAAGTATGGGAATGATAAGAGTCGTCTATTGAAGTGATGAAAATTTGTTTCTAAACTTATTACCTTGCCGATGTTTAGTATATGCACGTAATTCAAAGCAAAGCAAAAATTTGAATTTTCGATTGTATTTATTTTTTTTTTCCTGATACTCATTGTTTCAGAACGCTTTTCGTTAAGTATGATCTGTTTTAATGCGTTAATAAGCTAAGATTGGCGGTTTGATATGAAGTTCCATTTCTTATAGCTCCTTGTTATTCTAAATTATAACTAGTGACGGTAAATTGGAGGTAAGAGTTTCCAACTTTCAACCACAAGCTTACAGGTTCAAACTTTGAAAAACTAAGTAGTATCACTAGCTCTCACATTTACAGTGTAGCTCGGGGTCAAACTCATGAGTCTGCACTTAATGACTTGGATAATTAATTAGTCATCATATCTTATTAGTTTAGAAATTGCTTTTTACAAAATCTTAATGTCTTCAGATTATTGTGAATTTGAGCCTGAGAATCACGTGATATTCGGGTGTTCGTAGATCTTTTTGCGAAGTTTAGTGATCCTATTACATTTACTCTATTTCAATCCAACGGAGTTGAGATATAACTATACGAGGATTATCTGAATCATGTGACACATTTGCGCAATACATTCTGGGCACAGTGGTCACATACATACTTGTTAAGTCGTCATAGGTCAGAAATCTAAAAGGTCAACTAGACAGATTAGTAGTTCAGGGGATATTAATAACTTACAGAGTCTGGATGTTACCAAGATAAATTAAGGGTAAGAAAAACTGGTTTAGACCACAAAGCGGGATTCAACTTTCGTATACCCAAGGCTTCTATGAACCATGGTATACACCCTTGAATACTTTTGTATAACACTACAAAGGCTGACTTGATATTAACATTATCGCCAGTCTCAACCAAATATTTCGCAACGGAGGATGAGATTTGTTTATCCTGTGATCTCATTTGACTACTGGAATTCATTAGGTTTTGTAGCTATGTAGGTATATTTTCAGCCAGCAGTCGTGATACACAAGTATCACTTAATTCTGGTAACCGTCGTCTTCTCATCACATTATCCAACTTTATCAAAGAGACTAATTGTTTTAAATGTAAAAAATAGTTTATAGAACAAATTTTCTAGGATCTCATGTTTCTACAACGTCTTGAAACAATGATATCTTCCGTGAAGTATGCAAAATTTATTAGCATATCTTTCAACTTGGACAGATTCTGTAATGTAAAATCTTTAAAATTTACTTTTGTTATATTATTTTCCTAATTTACGTTGATTGCAATAGTTGGATATTAGTAAGGAAAGTGGAAAGATATGAGTGAATTAGTTATGAAATAATATGATAGTGTGTGCTCGCCTATCTCACTTATTATTATACTTTATAAGCCGATAAAATCTGGTTGATACTATGCGTCGAAACAATTCAATTATGTTACTTTTCTTTTCTATGCTTTTTTAAAAATCTAGTTACATTTATTGGAGGTGTGACGTTTATAATATTTGCGTTCAGCGTATTTTTTGGCAATCCAGACACAAACTCTTGACTTAAATACTGGTAACCATTATTTACTTTTAAAAAAAAAATATATATATATATAATTTAATTTTCAATATGCATTGGATAATGGTATTTTTTGAGGTACTTTAGAAATTTGTACAATGCACGAGATAGTTATGTTATCCATACAATTCTACTCAACCATTCTTAAAATACCTTTCATTTCAGATAAACTTATTTTCTTTCATATTTCTTGTGTTCTATTATCTTTATCTGTACATGTCTATTCATTTTGATGCGTATTTATTTATTTACATAATCGTGATGATATAAAAAGAAAACAGTCGATAAGCTGTTTTTTTCTGTTTTGCTTTCTCTACATTCCTTTTTATATCTAGTATTCAATGTGCACTTTTGCATGTAATATTTTTTTTCTTTACTTTTCTCCTTTCAACATATCTTTTTGGCGATGTTTTGTTTTATGTATGAAACATCCCTTTTAGATTATGAATGAAACATTTTCACTAAACAACTATATTTTAATTATAAAATAAAAAAATCTTAAATAATAATATCAAAGAAAGCATTCATAAATCAAATTTCAAAAAATATGGTTTTAATGGATAAAATCAATGTTTGATTACTTTTTGTTGTATTGATCATTGGTTTATTGTCTTTTTGTTTGACGACTACTTACTGTAAACAGTCAAGTGTCTTCAATGAAAATTATGTATTAAAATGCACGCAATATGTATTCATATAGATATTGAAATAGTGCTTTCTTTTCTACAGAGAAATTTCAACTAGTGTACATACTTAAATGTGGCCGAAAAATGTTTATGTAAATTATTAGTTGATTTTTTTCGTTATGATCTGTGCTGTTGATAACACAAATTAAATTTAGACGTTTTTGTATGTAATGCAGTGTAATACAGTGATTAGATCCTTAATAAAAGAAAGTGTAAATTTGTTTTGTCAGTAGTACTAAACAATATACACGGAATAATAAAACATAAAGGCTTTTCAAAGAAAGCTTTTATTGTCTTGAAAAAGGACAATCATGTGGACAACACAATTGACAGTACACTGTTTGTATATCCTTGAAATACAGATAGTTAATTAGCTCATCAAAAAGAATCTGAAGTAAGTGGTAGGGAAAACGATCAATCTCTCTTAGATACGATGAGTATTTACTGATTATTAGTTGTAATGCGATATTTGAGGTGACTTCTAAATGTTCATTTCAGATTATAAAGTGAGTAAACTATCTCTACTTTATATCACGTTTTCTGTTTCTACTGACTGTAAGTCTTGTTTGAAAATATGCAAATTGATGATCTAACCTGTATCGTTCATTAATGTTCATTGTAACACATCAGTTTTGAAATAACTTACAGTTAGAACATTTTTAATTAGTTTATATTAACAAATACTTTCAGCGTACCATTAGCATAAACCAAAGGTGAATAAACATCTTAATTAATGGTCGCACAAACCCACCCTATGCTAGATAGCCCTATTTTTAAAAATATCAAAATGTTTTTAATGAATACGCTATCGCGCATCGTATTAATCATCCAATCTTTCGTGAACGTTTTAAGGTCGTCTTTAGCCATTCATTTATTCCATGGCAATATCATATGAATGAGATAATCCCGCGACACTCGATTGAACAATTGGGAGCATACTGTGTGAACGACCAGGTTTGATTTTAACCAATTGAAGATTGATTGATATGGGAGGTGGAATGTTAAACTACAAGACGTATTTCAAGGTAAGATTCAGTTTACTGGATTAGTTATTATGAATTTACTAAATTAATCCATATAAAGGGAATCAACTTCAACTGATATTTAACATGTTTAGTGAAGTATTTCTTAAAATTTAGATAACAACTGTGTTACTTTTTCATAAAATCGTTTCAAACAATTTTACTTACAATCACTTTTGTGCATTTATAGTTTGACCATCTCTAACATAAAAACCTAAGACCCTCATATTTATTATGTTAACTATATTTACATCAAATGATGCTCAAACTAGAGAAAATAATCAAATATACATGCTTTTTGTTACATACTCATTTAAACTTCATTTGCATGAACTTGATTAATTGAAAATGTAATGGTATTTGTGGTGCCTACCACATTAACATTCTTCATGTTACAACTGTGATATGAAAAAATAAATAAAGCAAATAATTGACTAAGTCAGAAATGAAATTTGTCGTTTTTTTTTAGAGATCAACACATATTTTAGTAGTCGATGATCATTATCACAGATTAAGAATTTAATGTTGTTGAATCTGTAAAATTATATTTTTGTAAAAAGCGTTCACTTCATAACGTAAAGCAAGAAGGAATATCTATCGTATGAACACACATTACATAGCTGAATGACTTTTCCTTATTGGGATCATTCTATTTAATCTCGATTGTAGTGTTGAACATCAATTACACTATGGTTGGACGCTTTATATTTACTTCTATTCTAGATAATATTTAATAGGATATGGTTCTTTTGAAGTTACGACAGCAGTTAGTGCCATAAAAAAATAGTACTAGTTTCAAATTATTCATTTTAGTATTTAAAAAAATGTTTCACGGGAAGAACTAAACATTTTTAACTGACTACAATTATTCAGATTAATAATGAACTTTTCACAAAGTGGTTACTGTCCTGTATACTTTTATGATCCCACTTTGACTAAACGAAAAATCATTTTGACTTATTGTATGCTCAAGTTTCGTTTATCCAAATGTACCACATCTGTGTTTCACAGTATTGTTGGCACTGTTTTGTTCAAAATAGTGATACTGATGTTGTAGGAGATTTAAGAAATAATTCTCAAAATCTCATCACCAAGTTCGGTAATCCTCTCAGGGCTTACTTTAAAATGAGACACGTTTTCAGTTTCAAAAATATTGTGATACAATTTTCGGTCATCCACAAGAGAAATCACATGACGAGTGGTTGAGTGTCTCCCTAAAGTGTCCAAATAAATTAATCTACCAAACTCAAAGTATATCTTAAGATATTATAAGTTTTTAGTACACCACTTTGAAATCATCATTGCACCCAAACTGACAATGTAGCTTCAGAATAAACTATGCTAAGCAGAGGACATTCAGAAAAAGACTTAGAAATGTCTCGTTACTGGATCGCTCAAAGAAATTATGAAGATCAATGAGCATGGTATATTATCGCTAGTCTCATTGTTTATAGATAATTATCAGTCAATTTGTGACACCATGAAGTACTGCCATAGTGTTTCTAGCGGTTAGGGCTTCATGTGAAGTGGTATTAATATTGATGCTATATACAAGCTGGGTGCAAAGAAATTGCATTCTAAGTTATTAATAAGAGAATCAAGCAAAACGCAACTTTCTCATCGCAATAATACAAACTTTGTTAACATCAGTCACTTAGAAATATTTCATTTTTATAGTGAGCTTGTTATTTTAGTTCAGTCAGTCAACAACAACGTAGAACTTCGTACGTACGTACATCAGTTCAGGTAGCCATACCACGGTAAATAGATGCTATACTCACCTATAATCCCATAGTAGTAGAGGTAGTAGAAGTATTAGCAGTAGGTTTCGATGATATTGTTTAAGAGGTATAATCTAGTGAAAGAAGCAAAAAGATAAAGGTGATGAGGAATTCAGGTTAAGATTTGAGAGAACACAGAGAATCAATACACCTGCTCTGTTGCAAACGATTTTGGACCATGTCATTCAGGGTCTAGAACCATCTATTACTATCATCTCGCGGACCCCAACCAGGTAGTCGGCACCTACCAATATGACTCATTCCACTTGTCAGTAACTTCATAGATTTCTTCATGTTTTGGTTTGGCTACCCCTAGCTTTATTCCAACCTATTTCCGCATGGCAAAACATAGCTCGTTGAGGCAGTCGGTGGTTGGACATACGTAACATATGTCCCAACCACCTCAACTGGTGGAGATCCATTACTTCGTCAGTTGATCTGCCATCCCTACCTAATACTCGTTTCCTAACAACAGCATTGATTACTCGGTTGTCCCACGATACACGAAAACCCACAACTGACGAATGTCTTTTACTCTAACTGGCCAAGTTTCGTAGCCATAAAGTAGGACGGAGCGAACTGCTGCGCAGTACACTCATCTTTCGGTTATCTTGCCTGCGCCGTAGGTGACGCGGGTTGGCAAAAGCCAATCAAGCTGTAGTGAAGGAGAACACAGGTGAGGGCAACCGAATTGTATTTATCGCAAATTACCGAGTTAATTGGTTAAATAGGAAAACCATATCGTAAACCGTTAATTTGCAAAACATCAATCCATTGTCTGACATTTCACTGTTCATGCATTTCATACAAATTCCATTGTGTTGTTACTCTTCCTTTCTTGAGCTTCCCCCATCTTCTGCTGCCAGACATTACGTTTTCACTCGCGTCATATACTGCTTATAAGTAGCGCGCACCACAGAGCCTTCTGTATCCGTGCTGAGATTTTGTGACACCAGACCATCAGCACGGATGAAACTCTCGAGGTAGATGAAGTGGTCAACACGCTCAACTACTTCACTCCCCATCATTAGTTCATGTGCCGATACAAGCCGATCTTGAAGCAACATTTTGCATTTCGAAGGATAAAATCGCATCCCCAACATGTTTACATTGTTGCTTAGGGTATTCAGTAGACACTGCATTGTATCAGCGTCTTCACCAAGTAATTTTCACCCGTAGACCATCTGGGCTACTACCGGTCCCAAGCCCGGATAAAAGAAGAGGGTTGGGGTTGGGGTCGGCGACCCTATCCCGCAACAAAACTCACTCGCCAAAAAACGCTGACAAGAAAAAGTAATTCAAACCCTATAAACCCTGCTCTGTGAGTTATGACATCTCATTATGAAGGCCGAATTCCTTCGTAGGTCACGACGCTGATGCCCCTTCTGACAACCAGATCCACGATGTGGTCAACCGGGAAGTGGCATCTGCCCTCATACCCACAAAAGCACAAGAGACCAAATTGGTCAGAACCAAATCCTTTCTACACCCCCTCATAACTCTCTTATCTCCACGATTAACCCTTCATTCGATCGTTCGTCGCCGCGCGTCGCTGGCACAAACGGTTTGAGCTCACGAAACGTTGTTTTAGTTACCCAGCTTCATGGTGAATTTTTGATAATTAGTAATCAAAATTCGAAAAATAATTGTAACGAACATGAATCCCAACAACCGTATTCTAAATCAATTCTGATCAAATGAATCTCCAGTCAGCATCTGGAAAGAGAATCTGTATAGTTGTAATGTATTTGATTTGATATGAAGCTGTGTTTCTCAAAAATCATACCGATATCGAAAACAACATATTTTAATCAACTATTATTGAAACACTTGTATAAATGAATCCAACTAACACCTTTGAAAAACCGAAAGAAATTGAAACCTGTTGGAACCCTAACTTTCTTTTGATTCTTAATTGTAATTAATCATTGATACACTATAGATCATTTAAGTGTCAACACTTTGTTCGTATATTTATCCTACGCATTTTCACCGAATCAACTTAAATGGAAGTTTCAGGAAAAACTTATGATTTCTTGAAATGAATACTAATGATTTTCAAAAATTTCTGTTTACAAGATTGGTATTGCGCAAAGGGTTTGTGAGATTTCAAAAGGCACTAAAATTAGATCTGATAAATGTCTGAACGGGCTCTTGAGAGCGGTGAATGATGGTTACTGTGTACAAACCAACTTAAAATAAATTCTATTTATTTATATATTGATTGAGTTCTCAGATACATGATTGACAAATCATTAAGTTATAATTATTCTATTTAGTACTCAAACATTCTACTCCGTGAAAACTTTCCATCACAATATTTGTTTCTACTATGTTGGACTTTGAGCTGCACATATATTATGTGAAAGTAACATATACTGTTAGCTTGCTTGGAATATGATAAACAGAGTAAGATTTGTATTCGTTACTCAGATGAAAGTCATATGATTCAACCAACAAACTGAATGTTTTGGTAGGTATGTACTTTCTTTTACTTTTAATCATTTGATAAGATATTAAAACTGAATAATGTTTTAATACTCCACTTATTTCATCAGTAAGGCAAAACAGCAGAAGATTATTTGTATTTGATTATGCATTTGGTTTGTAGTTCGAATTTTAATTTGAGTTCTAAAACAATAGTTACAATCGTTGGATTAATTTTTATCTATGAAAATTCGAAATCAAACATTGTAAACTAACATTTGCTAGTTTCACATATCAGTTTTAAGGATAGAAATTTATATATATATATATATATATATATATATATATATATATATATATATATGAATGCAATTTCAATGAATAATAAAAATTACGGATTTAGAAAGTTTTCTATTATTTTGTATTTATAGACAGGTTCCGACCTACAATATACTTGAAGTTGTGACTCTGAAATATTAATAAGTCAATAATATTACGACTATATAACTTTGATCGATCTGTACACGTAATGTTTACAAATGTAGAGAGATAATCACGATTCAGCTTTAATATTATAGGTAGTATTTTGGTAATTTGTTTGTTTGTTCGAAATTCAATACACTGTTACAAACAGCATACTTGTTTTACTTCATGAAAGATCATATATTATTGTTCCCTCATCGGTTACTTTTTACGTTAATAAGTTTCTAGTAATCATAGTAAGTTTAATTAACTATCTGAGTATTCCAAATGCTGATAATAGTCCAGTCTGTCATAAACAACTGCTCTGTAGAT